GGTGTTTAACCTATATGGAGGAAGAATTTAAAACAATTTTATTTATGAAGTAGGGAGAGCAAAGGGACCTAAATGGAAGTAAGGTTTCTACACTTCACTTGACATGGTAAAACGTTGATACTAATAGAATATGGTATATGTTATATACGTATATTGTAATAACCAGAACAGCCAATAAGAAGGCTGCACAAAGTGATATACCAAAAAACACTAAATAAATCAGAATCGAATTTTCAAAAATGTTTAAGTAACCCACAAGAATGCAAGCAAAGAAAAATAGAGGAATGAGAAACAGAGGGAACAAACAGAAAACAAATGATAAAATGGCAGACTTAAGCCCTAACATAACTTTTACTTTAAATGTAAAAAACACATGAAAAGATGTTTAATATCATTAGCTGTTAGGGAAATGCAAATTAAAACTACAGTGAAATATCACTGTAATATACCTATAAGAATGGCTAAAATAAAAAATAGTGACAATGCCAAATGCTAGCAAGGACGCAAAGAAACTGGATCACTCATACATTGCTGTTGGGAATGTAAACTGGTACAGCCATGGTACAAAAGTGTTTAGGAGTCTATTTTTAAAAGCTAAGCAAAGAATTAATATTTTTCAAATGTCTGTATTACCCAAAGCAATCTATAGATTCAATGCAATCCCTATCAAAATCCCAATGACATTTTTCACAGAAGTAGAAAAAATCCTAAAATTTGTATGGAACCACAAAAGACTCTGAATAGCCAAAGCAATCTTGAGCAAAAAAGAACCAAGCCAGAGACATCATACTACTTGATTTCAAAATCTTCTACAAAGCTGTAGTAATCAAAGCAGCATGGTACTTGCATAAAAACAGATACATAGACCAATGGAACAAAAATAGAGAGCCCAGAAATAAATGCACACATTTACAGTCTATTGATTTTTGACAAAGATGCCAAAAACACACAATGGGAAAAGGACAGTGTCTTTGATCAATGATGCTGAGAAAACTGGATATCCACTTACAGAAGAATGAAATTGGACTCTTATCTCATACCATATACAAAACTCAACTCAAAATGGAATAAAGACTTAAACATAAAACCTGAAACTGTAAAACTTCTAGAAGAGAACAGAGGAAAAGCTTCATGACATTGGTCTGGGCAATGATTTTTTGGATGTGACTCCAAAAGCATAGGCAACAAAAGCAAAAATAGACAGATGGGATTACATCAGACTAAAAAGCTGCTGCACAACAAAGTGAAGAGTGAAGAGACAACCTGTGGGAGAAAATTGTTGTAAACCATACATCTGACAAGGGGTTAATATCCAAAATACAGTATGTGAGGAACTCAACTCAATAGCAAGAAAACAACCCAATTAAAAAATGGGCAAAGGACCTGAATAGACATTTCTCAAAAGAAGATGTACAGATGACCAACAGATGTATGAAAAAGTGCTCAACATCACTAGTCATCAGGGAAATGCAAATTAATACCACAATGAGATACTGCCTTACACCCAGTAGGATTGCTACTATCAAAAAACAGAAGATAGCAAGTGTTGGCAAGGATGTGGAGAAAAGGGAACCCTACTACACTGTTGGTGGGAATGTAAATTAGTCAAACCATTATGGAAAACATTATGGAGATTCTTCAAAAAATCAAAAATAGAACTACCATATGATCCAGCAACCCTGCTATTGGGTATATATCCAAAGGATATGAAGTCAGTGTGTTGAAGAGATATCTACACTCCCATGTTCATTGCAGCATTATTTGCAATACCTAAGCCATGGAATGAGCCTAAGTGTCCATCAATGGATGAATGGATAAAGGAAATGTGAAATGTATATACACAATGGAATACTTGCTATTCAGCCTTTTAAAAGGAAATCCTGTCATTTGCAACAACATGGATGAACCTAGAGGACATTATGTTAAATGAAATAAGCCAGGCACAGAAAGACAGCATGATCTCATGTGGAATCTAAAAAAGCCAAACTCATAGAAACAGTAAAATTGTGGTTACCATAGGCTGAGGGGTTGAGGACATGGTAGAGTCATCAGTCAAAGGAAACAAAATTTCAGTTAGACAGGAGAAATAAGTTCAATTGATCTATTGTACATCATGGTGACTGTAGTCAATATATTATATACTTGAAAATTGCATATACTAAGCAAGCTTTTATTGGTAGCCTAGAATCTAATAATTTCTTTTAGAATTAAAATATATAAGGAAATGTGCTTCATTTCAAATAGTTGATCTAATTTTTAGAGTATTCCATATT